GGGGGCCTACCGATGGTCTCAAAGTAGGATCGGACAGCGCTGGGAGCTGTGGTGAACTTGAGGTGCCTGATCAGGAGGCTGGTGGGTGCATGTTCGTCGTTGCTGCGGTCGAAGGAGTCGCCTCTCCTCCGGCCGTTGTCTTCGGCGCCGCCGTCGTTCTTGGACCGACCGGAGGGTTGCGGAGAGGAACTTCTTGGACTACCCGGATTACTGTCGTTCTGCGGCTCCATGTCTTGGTCGCGCTCACGCGGCGAGTCGTATGCCGGCCGCTCGTCATTCAGCGCCGGTCTTGGCTCGTCCTCCTCCTCACGCTCTGCCGCCCGTCCACCGTGCGACGACGGACGCATCGCGTCTTCTTCGTCTTCCCACCGGGCCGGGGATCGATCGCCTACAAAGTCAACTTATCACCAGGAAGGTGTGAGGATGGCCCCAAAGGGCTATGGGTGGCATTCTAGGGTTGCACCGGGGTCGGTCACAGGCCGGCACCGCGGACGCGGAATCCTCAGGCAAAGAAAGCAGCCAGTCTCCGACGTACGGAGATAAAGATACGTCTCAGCGGGTAAGGTCGAGGTCTTATCTCGGAATCCTCTCTCAGACACGCGTGTGCGTCAGGAGCTTACGAGGCGAAATGTTTTGGTCTCTTGGGCTGGGTGGCAAAGAATCGGTCATTCCCGAAAAAATTTTATATTAAGCCCCACCCGCCCTGGAGGCCGCAGGGACAACCCTGGGGACCGCGCCAGAAATCCCGGCTGCCACAGCAGCACTGCGCTGTCTGAGCTGTTCCTGAGCCATCTCCATCTGTTTGCGAGCCAAGTGCTGGTGGAAGCCAGCCGCTTCTTGAAAGATAGTACCTTCTGCAACATGAAGGAGCGTATATATGGGGTCAATACAGGGAAGGGTTAATACAGGGAAGGGAAGGAAAAGAAAGGGGGAGGAGGTGGCCGGGGCGGGTGGGAGAGAAGGCTTGGGTGGTGCTTACCGAAGCCCCACTTTTCTTGCAAGCATTCTGCTTCGTGTCTGATTTGGACAGATTCTTCCTGTAGCCAGTCCCTGAGAGCGAGGACCGACCTCCATTGTGATTCAGCGAGTAGTCCTCGCTGGTATAGCTGGGCCTTTTGGTTAAGCTCAGGGGGTAGTCGTGCAATGAGAGGAAAGTTGGAGATGGTGCGTTTCATGAGGGCGCTGCGTAGGGCCGTGCGATCGGAATCTTCCAGTTCTCGATGCCAGGCATTGGAGGGGTCCCCATTCAAATCTTCTTCCAGTCGGTCTAGTTCCCACCGCTTCTTTTCGCGGTTAGCGTCGAACACGCGTTTGCGCTCTGCGTCGTAGTCATTCTTGGCACCGCCCTCCGGCCTCGGCATCGATAGGCTTTGTAGAAACTGGTCGCTCTCGGTCTCCCGTTCGTGAATTGCACGGCCAATCTTCACCGCGAGGAAGACCAACAGCCCCACGAACAGCAGCAACGCCACCAGCAGTGAAAGTGGCATATATAAAGTCCGAAAAAAGTACCTTACCCTGCATGTCCGATCCCTGAATGAGTCAGTTGTCCTTCCCTAACAACACGTTCGGAAGAGCGACCGAGTGACTATTCGTCGTCATCCAAGTCGTCATCGTCATCCACCTCGCTGACATCATCCTCGTCCGCGCCATCCACGGACTCAATCTGCGCGATGGGGCCTGGCGGACCTCCTAAGATGCCACCTCGTCGAAGGATGCTTATTGGCTTAGATCCAAAAGGTGAGGAGGGGGGCTCCCCAGCAGATGGGGGCTCCCCAGCAGATGGGGGCTCCCTAGCCGAGGGGGGCTCCCTAGCCGAGGGGGGCTCCCTAGCCGAGGGGGACTCCCCAGCTGAGGGGGACTCCCCAGCAGATGGGGGCTCCCTAGCCGAGGGGGGCTCCCTAGCCGAGGGGGGCTCCCTAGCCGAGGGGGGCTCCCTAGACTGTGCCAAGATGTTCGGTGGAAACACCGGCACGGCTCCTGCTTGAGGGGGCGGTCTGGCAGCTAGCCCGTCAAGCTGCTGGGCTAAGGCCTTCACATCTTGCGCAGACTGCGGCGTCCACAACGTGCCTCGCGGAGAGCCACGGCCATCTGCCCTGTGACGTTCCTCAGCTATACCAGGTCCGACCGGCCGCCAGATATTGGCGTTCGGTTCACCGGTCACGGGGGCACCCGCACGACCCACGGGTTCCCCAGCAACGGGTGCACGATTGATGGGTACACGATTGATGGGTACATGATTGATGGGTGCACGATTGATGGGTACACGATTGATGGGTACACGATTGATGGGTACATGATTGATGGGTACATGATTGATGGGTACACGATTGATGGGTACACGATTGATGGGTTCAGCGGCTACCGGCTCGGTAGCAACGGGCTTATTGTCGAAGGGGTTACTGCCAAGGGGATCACTGCCGATCGACTGACTAGGTATATATCTTGGACGCGGTCCGGGGATATAACTCACTTTGTTGTTCGTCTTCAGGGGTCCGTGGAGGAGAGGATCGTAGTCGAGCAGCCGCTCTTCCCGGTCGTAGCCGCCATCCGGGCGCCTTCTGAGGTGTATTTGAAGGACCTTCGGTTGACGTCGGGTCCGCCGGGTCCGCCGGACTCTTCGTGTGTGGTACCAGGCCGGGGGAGTGGCGATAGCCGGTTGGATGTTGATGATGTTGCGATTCGTCGGCTTATAACCTGTCGTTTGATAACCTGTTGGCAGATAGGGTATTAGAGGATAGGATGTCGGAAGATAGGATGTCGGAAGATAGGATGTCGGAAGATAGGATGTCGGAAGATAGGATACCCGGTTTTATTATACGTACCTTGTTCAGGCTGCAAGGGATTTTTCGGGATTCCACCTTCACTAGCAACGTAGTGTGAAGCAGGGTAGCCTAGACCGAATGCTCCGAGACATGAACCCAAAGACAAGAAGAAAAAGGCTCGCATGTGTGTGCACCTGTATCAGTGAAACCTCCACCGGCTAAGAACATTGCCTCAGCTGGGGAACCTCCAGTAGCCAAGAAGCCTCCATAAGATGGGACAAGGTTGTGCCAATGGAGGGACGAGTATATGCGTGGTTCTGCGTGGTCGGAAAACCGTATATGTGTTTCATTGATCGTTTTGGTCAACGTTCGTTTTCGATGAGTGGACGACAGTTGGGTGAGCGACAGATGCATGAGCGGCCATCCAGTGAGCGCAAGCTGACGACTACAAGTGCAGGCACAGTGCCCTCCTCCGATCTGGAGAGACAGTCTGCGGAGAACAGGGCCGAAGCAGCCGCAGAGGAAAACCGAGCGGACTTAAGTGCACGTTCTGCGACTGGTTTCCGATCAAATACCCGTCCGACACGCTGGAGTGATGCTTTGTTTCGGGACAACGTGGGGGGGCCGGATTCGGCTGGATACGCACACCCCGGCTACGCCTACTGGCGACGGTCGGAAGAAAACCTGGAGCCTTGCGATGACCTGCACCTGCAGCGAGACCGCGCCACCCTGGAGATGGAGAGGGAGAGGGACCGCGCGGCCCTGGACAGGGAGAGAGGATACGGGGGAGAGAGGGAGAGGGTTTCCCTCGGAGAGAGGGAGAGGGGTCGACATGATCATCGCGGGGGGACAGAGGGGGTGCGGCAGCGGAGTCAGTTGTATGATTCCGGTTTGATCCCAGAGTCGTTGCCAGGGGAGTTGGCGTGTCGCAAGTTGCCCGGGGAGGAGTTGGCGGCTATCCCGTCGCGTGCCCCGCCGGTGGCGGGTTACGAGACGAGCGCCGCTGCGCTGTGGCAGGGGCGGTCTGAGGGGATTTTGGCGGCGAGTCAGTTGTTGGTTCAGCAGCAGCAGCAGCAACAATTTTCGGTTGCGCCAGTAGCACCCGCAGCGCCTGCCATTTACATCCAGCAACAGGTCAGCGCGGACGGTGTGATGCCTCCTCCGGCCCCGGCGCCAACCGACAGGAGACTTCTCAGCCGTGCTACTCGCAACGACATGATCCGCCGGCTCCGTAGAGCCTGGCGTAGGACCGCCCTCGCCGCACCTCTCAACCTCTTCACCATCCTCGGCGTCTCTGCCGTCGTCGGATTCTCCTACCTGCACCGCTGCGTCTCCCAACGAAGAAGCCTACGTAATCGAAGATCCGCACGCGTGCTGCTCAAACAGATTATGGACGAGCACCTCTGAACACAACTACAGATCATGACCTACCTCTAAATGGAACCTACCTCTAAATGCAACGTACCTCTAAATGCAACGTACCTATACTTTGACACATTGAACTGAACTAGATTGAACGAACGTGATTGTCAACGCACCTGATGTCATAAGATGATGTTTGGTTTCGTATATACGAGAGATGTGGGAGTATTGTTGGTCTGTATTCTATCTGAGTTCTACATTTGTTAAGTGTGCTCTACGTGTGTGCTCTACGTGTGTGCTCTACGTGTGTGCTCTACGTGTGTGCTCTATGTTTATATAGGTCTCAATCAACCTTGTTCCAATGAAGCTTGTGTTGTTCTAGACGGAGAATGAAGCCGAAGCGGAGGCAGATGCAGAAGCAGATGCAGAGGCAGATGCTGAAGCAGAGGCAGAGGCAGAGGCAGAAGCTGAAGCTGAACCAGATCCGTCTTGTTCAGCTTGTTTCTGCAGTTGCTGTATCTTCTGTTTGAGCTCTTCATTTTCTGTACGTAATTTGGTATTCATTTCAGACAAGTTCTCATTGTTGGCTGCAAGCTTTTCTTTCTCTTCGAGCGCTTTGGAATTCTTTTCTTGGAGTGCCTTAAGAGCTGCAGGATCGATGCCTGGTGCGGCTGCTACGAGATTTCCAATGCCCTCATCTACATCCTCTAGGTCCTCTTCTGGTTCGACGATAGCGTCCATTCCACCGCCCATACCAAATCCACCGCCCATACCAAATCCACCGCCCATACCAAATCCACCGCTCATACCAAATCCACCGCTACCCGCTGCAAACATCGGGTTGGTTACCAGTAATGGCGACGCGACTGATTCCTGAGCCAAGGCCAGCCTTCGCGCGTTCTCCAAAGTGGCCTCACTAATCACCTGACCCGGCTGCACACTGCCCAACAAATCGACAAATGTCTTGCCCAAATTAGCCGCCACCACTGCATATAAGTTAACCAACTCCATCAGGTTTACCGGCGCCGGCATTAAGGACTTGTTATAGTCCACCGCCAGCTTCCAAGACTCAGGCATGGGGAACTCTGCCACCCACTCCTTCGGGTCCACCGTGGGCGGCGCCGGCTGCACCTCAAACATCGGTTGCGCCGCAGGCATGGGTTGAACCATAGCCATCGGCTGACCCATAGCCATCGGCTGACCCATAGCCATCGGCTGAGCCATAGGCAAAGGCTGAGCCACAGGCATAGGCTGAGCCATAGGCATAGGCTGAGACACGGGGTGGTACGCAGACTGGGGCGCAGGTCGAGACGCGAGACCCCGCACGCTCGGAGGCGCGAAGGCTGCCGCGCCACCGGCAGGAACAGTGCCGGGTTGACCCGCGTTTAATGCCCGGCCAAAGTCCGGCTCATTATTCGAGATTCCTGACGACTCCGGGATACCTGAGGATGACATCCCACTCTGTCCTACCACCATGGATGACAAGAGTAGCTCGATGCAGACTCTCTGGCCCCTGGCTCCAGCAGATACTGCCCGGTGGGTAAGCATGAATTTATATCCGGGAAATTGTCGGAGAAAAATTGCCTTGCTTCTCAATTATCGGTAATCGGTCGGTTTTGCATTTTCTGAACGCCCGGGTGAAGCTTTCAGGGGAATGTTACCAAGAGAGTTTGTGGAGTATGTCGGTCACTGTCCCGTAAAACCTTGTGCGGACCTTCGTTACTATCGTCTCTGTCTACCGCCTAGGCTGGTTCCTCAGTACGACAGACAGGCTGGCTTGCGGTACGAGGCGGTACGGCCAGGAAAAGTGGTGCCAGACAAAGTCATACTAAACGACGAGATGATGGGGGAACACACGATGGTGGGGGACCACAAGATGGTGGGGGACCACAAGATGGTAGGGGACCACAAGATGGTGGGGGGTGATGTAGTTCTCAACATCCCTTCAAATGACGAAGGGAAGGGTCCGTTGGAAATAGCTCTAGTCAGTTGGTTACCGAAGGAGTACGCTACTTATATGGCTCCCGCTGGACTCTCCTCAAAAACGGTATCCAATAAATCGAATTTAAATTTGATCGGTATGGACGCTGCATCAGTCGCCTGTATCTGGGCCCTCGATGTGCATTGGGATGACCATTGTTTAGATCTGTGTGCTGCTCCAGGTGGTAAGGCTATGACGCTTGCAGATAGGTGTCAGCGTGTAGTTGCGGTCGACATTAATAAACAAAGATTAGATGTAATGAGAGGATTAATTAGTCGAACTGGGTATTCCAATATCACACTACTTATCGCTGACGGTACAACATTTGATCCCTCTGATTCGACAACTTATGAAGGCTATGTACGTCGTCGAAAAGCAAAACGAAATTCACGTGTGAAGCAAAATTTAAGAGTGGGCAATAACTGGATTAAACATGTGGCACCAGAAAAACCACCAAAGAAAGATAGCGTAGCTCACCAGAACAGAGAGACTAGCGTCATAGACGTCGTCGGCAAGGTGGATATTGGCAAGGTGGATATTGGCAAGGTGGATATTGGCGAATGTAATCGTGGACCAATCCAGACTTGTTTCACGAAGGTATTGGTTGATGCCGAATGTACGCACGATGGATCCTGGCGTCATTTAGCAAAGTATGAAGATGAGGAAACGTTCAGACGGAAGGTTATGGATCCTGAACGGTTAGATACCTTACCGGAATTACAGTATAGATTAATATGCAATGGATGGCGACTGCTGGATAAGGATAGTCCTGGAGCTGCCTTGGTGTATTCTACGTGTTCGCTATCTGCAAAGCAGAACGAGGATATTATTGATCGTTTCATTAAGGAGCATTATAATGAAGCGAAACTTGATATTCTTCCATTTGGTCCGGATGTACCTTGCAAATATATCTCTGTGGATGCCACTTCTCCTGTTTCCGCTGCATTGTTCGGAACGACCGGAGAGACCAGCGGCCTATTCTTGGTTAGGATAATTCCAAGAGAAAGGAGTGATCGTTACTCGTGAATAGATAGTAAGGATGATGGTTAGGTGAGGATGATGGTTAGGTGAGGATGATGGTTAGATGAGGATGATGGTTAGGTGAGGATGATGGTTAGATGAGGATGATGGTTAGGTGAGGATGATGGTTAGTAGTGTGTGTAGAAAGGTAGGTGCATTGTTTGTCATGGTTGTTCATTTTCCGTCGGATACTTTAGGCGGAGGTTTAGGTGAAATGGTGATGACGGAAGCATTTCCATCATGGTCTGATGGTTTTGATGATATGTGGGGAGTGTATAACTTTACATATGCTGAGAAGGCGCCAACTATTGTGAGGAATGGAGCGTATTATTTGATTACTGTTTGGACTGGTTTATATTTCCTGATGGCACTTGCTAGTTCATTCTTTTATGGAAATTATACAGGTGAAGGATGTCCTCGTGTAGCAGTAGCCTTAGGTTGTTTATTTCGAGGAGTGGATCGTTGGTACAATGAGTTTATTAGGATGACTACATGCACTATGTTGCATTATACACCATTACATTTAATGTTGAATGCTTATTCATTCGGTTCAAGTTATGCTATGATGAAGAATTACGTTGGAGAATATGCACCTTGGATTGATTATTGGATTATACCTATTTGGTTTGCTTGTTCTGCTGTAGGTTCATGTGTGACTTATAGTGGTCATCTAAAGACCGTATCATCATTCAGTGTCGGAGCATCTGGTGGTGCTTGTGGAGTATGTATTTTTAGCTCTTGTATAATATACATGATACTAATAGGAAATGTTAGTTCAACTCCATTGCTATCTCAAACGGGACAAGATAGCTTGATTCTAAGTACTCTACAGACCATTGCTCTTGTTATTCTACAATCTACACCCTTGGCTAGCATGACGTCAGGTAAGAAGGTCGACTGGCAAGCACATCTTGGTGGCTCTATTGGAGGATTTATAGTCTCATATATTTTGAACCGACTTCATCTCACCTGGGATCATGGTAGTCTCAATAGGCTTGGAGCTCTACTTACTGTACTTACCACCATCTGGATAGCATTCGCTTTCTTCTGCGTCATCATACAATACTCACAAAATCATAAAGAAAGAACCACCAACTGTTATATACAATGGCTTGAACTAGATAAAATTGATCTCATCAAATCCGAAAAACAAAGAAGACGATGGACTCTAGGTCATAACCAACTCATTGAACAAGAACTCAACGCACAACCCAGGGCCAGAAGAATCAAGGCCACAATCGAACAACTCCAACAGGACGAAGAATGGCGGGACTGGAGGACACACGCATACGACCCGGACGTTGTATACTACAACACTAGAGGAACCGTCTGAACACTATACTACAACATTAAAAAAAAAACTCCTCGCAACCACCAACAAAAAAAAAAAAAAACACACCGGACTCAAATGGGAAGATACACCACACAAAGGAAGTATAACTTTTTACATACTTCGTGAAAACAACCGTTATCGGATCATGACAGTACTGACTTCTGACTGCCTTGCAAGACAACGTTTCATAAATCTTGCACGACAAAATATCCCATAATAAAATATGGCTAGCACCCTTGACCGGTTCGAAACCCGTCAAACAGATTTGCAGTAATAGCTTAGTAAACCTAGATTCATTGACAAAAAAAAATCTCGCACACGCGTGTGCTACCATGTCTGACCCATTCCAAAATGATGTGACTGTGGTCAAAAAGGCTCAAATCCAACCAAGCTCAGTTACTCAGACTTCTCTTCTGAACACCAGCACGACGCCGGCGCCATCTTCGGAAGTATTCTGGTCCAAGCCTGTTCCATCCGCTCACGCCGTAATCTCCCCCTCCTAGCCGGTCTAGTTGTTGGTTTAAATCCTCTCAGTTGTCTCATTTGTTTTATCGTTCAGTGGGATAAGATCTTGTTATCTGCGTTGTATGCGCCGTTGCTTATAGTAGGGTTGGCTTTCTTTACGCCTGAGACGAAACAGGACAGTTTGAGTGACTTCCAGTACCGTTGCGCGGGGGCGGGTTATTTTGCTGTGCTTCCGTTGTTGGTGTTTGGTTACATCAGCTTGCCATGGCTGACATTTTCTTTGGGTTGTGTAGCGGCATTGGTTGGTTACTATGTGGTGGGGTCGCCGCGGGCTTCCGTGAAATTGAAGGAGATGACCGCTTTGTGTTTGACGGGTCTATGCATTTCGGGATGGGTCGAGAACATCACGACCGGTCTCTTTTCTGGCGGTGGTGTCCTGGGTGGTCCGGCGGGTTACGGTGTCTTCCTTGGATCGTTGTTGCGACCAAAGACGTCGCTGGCCTTCTCCCTCTGTCGGGCTCCCATTGCCCTTGGTACGGTCGGCCTCGTGGTCACTGCTTTCCGAGTGGGGACCATGCACGGTCCTAAGCCCACTAAGCTTGGAATCGTGGCCATCGCTATCTCTGCCTCCACCTGCATACTTACTGGCGCCGCCGCCATAATGTATCTCGTCACCGGCACCGCCTTGGCCGTCCACCCCTTCCCTTTCTTCGGAGGACCACCCAAACTGGTCATCCCGTCTCAGGAAGCCACACTCCTCCTGCTCTCCGAAGCAGCTCTCTTCCTTGCCACCTACCTCTACAGAGACGCACAATTCCGCCAGGCACTCCAGCTTTGGGGCGGACCCTTAGACACAGCCAGAGAAGACGAAGACCTACTGTTGCAAGACCGCTCAAATAAGGTTCCCGAAGACTGGAAACGATCCTTCTCCATGCCCTCCGCGGAGTCTATAGCCAACACAGATGATGAGGAAGAACAACGCGACCCCGCCGACGACTTCGCCCCCTAAATCCCCCAAGTCCAAACGTGGCCCCCCAAGTCCACACGTGGCCCCCCAAGTCCACACGTGTGTGTAGAAGTCCGTGTGCGTAAGCCGTCCAGTCGCTCAGAGATCGGTTTGGAGGTAGGCGCAGAGAGCGATGGCGGAGCTCAGTTTGTGCTCCTTGATCTTGGGTCGTTCGGAGGCATGTTTAATCGCGCCTTTGTTTGCGTCCCAGATGCGGACAAGGCCATCGAGGCCGCCAAGGAGCAGGTATTGTCCGTCTTGTGTGATGTCTGCGCAGGTGATAGGGCTTGGTTGTGCTAAAATAATAATCGGGTCTTCATCTTCGTGTCGGATCAGCTCGACAAGGTTAAGGGTGACGACGCAACCGCCATGGGTAGTGAGGTATGCAATATGACCCTGAACCGGATCGGCGAGCAAGTCGTTGCCCTTGACGCCTTTCAAAGCCGTACTCGACCACCACTCCTTGGGTGCAATACGTCCGCCTCCGAGGTACTTCAACGCGTACACAAATCCTAGCCGGGTAACCAACCAAATCACGTAGCACTCCGTTAACCCCAGGGACTCTACCGGCACACCTTCCGAGCTCATGGACAAGCCAAAGTCCGTGGAACCGGCCGCGTTCCCGCCACTCGCTGGATTGCTACCTGCGAGTCCCGTCAAAACTCGTTCACCATCCAAGCCGCCCCCCCCTGCTAGCTGCAATCCAGTTGCAGTCAACCCAGTTTGAGCCAGCTTTACGCTTGTCAGACCGGTGCGGGACGCCGAGATGCGGCGGGACGCCGAGATGCGGCGGGAAGCTGAGATGCGGCGCGCTCCAACAATTCCCTCCATATCGCCGTCTGAGTCGCATTGACCATTCTCATAGACGGCATCGTATGGATCGTAGACACCCGAATCACAACCACCGGCTTCGAGACCCGCCTCATAGTGACTAAAACTAGCCGCTTCGGAGCCTCTGTTTCGACCCAGTCCAGCTAGCAGAGGCACTTGGCCCACTAAAATTTTTTGCGGCCGATCATTCGGGTCGAGCTGAAATGGGAATTCATGAAACACATCGCACTTGGTTTGCCGCATGTCAATAAAATGCAGACCACAGTTACTCATGACTAATATGTATTGCCGATCTGGACACCAACCTGCGCTCACTATTTCGCGACATGAAATGTCCAACCGCTCCGGCGTCTCTTCCACAGAAATGTGCGGCTTCCACGGCCGGTGACCTGTACCCACCACTGGGTCTCGACGACCTATTCCCATTGGAGTCGGTTCTCGGAAGTCACACGTAATTAAACCTATGGTCTCGGAAACTACACTCAACAATACGTGCAGGGTCGGTAGGTATCAACCCGGCCGCAGGGGGGGGGAGGGGGGGAGGGGGGAGGGGTATCGGTGGGTGGGTACCCATGCCCTGGACGGGTGGGTACCCATGCCCTGGACGGGTGGGTACCCATGCCCTGGACGGGTGTGGGTACCCATGTGCTTATAGGGCCTACTGATTACTGCAGTGTGGGGGTCTTGAAAGCTTGCCCATATAGCGGCGTTTGAGGCTTCGCGATCGGCGTAGCCTGACTCCCAGATGATGGCGAAGCGGCCGTTGGATTTGCGTAACTCGAATGGGTTGATCAATTGGATAGTGCTTTCGTAAACCATCAGAACCGTGCTTTGTGAAGTTGCTATCGCAGTGGGACAGCCTTCGTACAGTTGGTCCTCCGTTGTGGCCTCGGCGCCATAGCACCGCAGCAATCCTCCATAGGTAATAGCCAGGTAGTCTCGATTTTTCCCCGGCCCAATGTATGACACCATTATTCGGAGAAGACCCAAGAAAAGGTGAGGTGATCGGGCAGAGCGCTCAACATCATGAGCACTCAACGTCATGAGCGCTCAACTTCAAAGGGGAGTGTTGACCAGATTGGCAGTCCTTTAGACAATGGGACAAACCTAGTGGATCGTTCGGAGAATTTGATGGTCGTAAACCGGAGGACCCGCCCATGCCAGAGGACAAGGAAGAACTGTTCCAACAAGGCGCTACAGCTAACCCCACGTATCTTATAGCTGATGTGGGCACTGCAGAGTTGCCAAGTCCTAAAGAGCTGAAAACAAATACTGGGGATGACTCCGTCGCGTGTGGCAATGCAGATACGTACTACGGCAATAATCATAATGGTCATGTAGACGAGACTAATGCAGCAAACCCAACAGACAGGGCTGACGATCCAACTCATGGGGTATACCCAACTGGGATGGAAGAAGAACCTGTTACCCGTAATGTAGAGGATCGGGTCGCAAGCGATGGAGACTCTGCGAATGGTTCCGTATCGAGCACGTTCCGGGTAGATTCCGTTCAGACCAAAAAAGGTCATAATAGCCGAACAGTGAGCGGTACGTGCGCGGACTTGGCTAGTTTATTTCGTATGTCCACGGGTGCTCGGTCAGGTATAAGTGGCCTGCCAGATGAAGCAGAAAGGGTCGTGGATTTGTCGGACGCAATTCGCACCAGCGACGTTGCTTTGTTTCATGTGCAATTGGACGGGGTGTGCATAGTTCGTTCTGTGGCTGGCATTGATGAGGTGTTCTCTGCTGTGTTGCGACAGGTGTCAGAGAGAGAGTTGTCAGGGGGACATGCGTCGTTTGGGCCTTTGAATACGCAGGGTGTCTGGAGGAGTTTGATGGGCGATGTAGAGACCGTGTTGGAGCAGCTGACTACGGCGGAGAAGGAGGCTGCCAAAACGTGTGCGAAACTGCGTTGTCAGGAAGAGCATGCGGTCTCCGAAGAACGGTGGGAAGAGGCTGCGGAATTGAGCAGGGCTTGCACGGAAGCCAAGCTATCTGCCTCCGCCATCTCCTTCAAAAGACAGCACACCATCCTCGAGCTTGCAGAACGCTTTGCGGCGCTCTTTCCCGACGGTATCGCACAACTCCGGGAATGCCTGACCACGTATCTCCGACAGCTCGCATTCATTTGCAACGCGATTGGAAGCATCAGCTTCTCCAAAGATGACCGAGACGACATCAACAAACGAAAGGACCAATATGCAGTGCAACTCGCTTCTATCAATCTACAACTCCAAGCCTTAGAGGATAGCTTCAATGTGGAGAAATGCGCGAAAGCTGAGCCAATTAAACAACACCATAATGTCGTCGGCGAGGATGGGGAGTGTGCAACTGCCAGCGAGCAGTATGCTTTATCCGAGTCGGGGGGTGCTGTAGAGCAGTCTGGTATCGCAACGGCAGACATATCAGTTTCGCATGAATCAGGTCTTGAAGGTCTGCTGGAGTCGGTGAGGGAGGAGAAGAGAATTTTTGTAGAGGAGCGTGACATATTGTTTACTGAAATTACCCGCATGAAAGCGGAGTTGATTACCCGCGAGAATGAGCTCAAAGTAGCCTGCCGGCACATCGATCAAGCTGATGAAAATATACGGGAGATTGAATCTAGATTGGCTACCGCACACGAAGAGAAGAGAGTACGGGAATCCCATCGACAAAACCTACTTAGTGAGAAGGAAGTTGTAGAACACAATCTCTTTACCCTTGACCACCTAGACCTGGCTAATGACCAATTAGTTCGGGAAAGATTAAAAAAGGTTGCGGAGATGCTGGAGTCAGAAGCGATGAATGTTTCGTTGGCTGCTTCTATTTCAATCGATGACATTCTACGTAGCAATGACCGCCGGCCCCAAGATGTGACTGAGCCTCAAGATTTGGACGATAAATCAGGAGAGCGAAAGCACGATGCCGGAGAGTCAGAGCAGGAGGCCGGAGAGCGAGAGCAAGAGACACGGGGAGAGGGTGATCCGGCTCTATCTGAGACCTTAGCTTCCTTGCTCAGGCGGCTTAAAGAAGGTATTTCGAAACATGAGAATTTGTTTGGTGCTCTGCTTACGGAACAGGGAATGACGAGGAGATTCTTGCTAAATGGTGAGAACGGCAGTGGGGACGGAACGGAAGTCCTTGGAGTTGGAAGCGAGGGTTGGCGGTCACTGTACGGTGGTTTGGGATGGGTGCAGGGGCTGCAGGAGGATGTAGTGTTGCGTCGCGCTGTCCACTGTCGCGAGGCACTGTTGAAACTATTCAATCGGAAAGCGGAGCTGGAAGTGAAGGTGCAAAGGGCGGCTAACGACTTGGAAGCATTGGATCAGACCAAGCAAGAGGCTGCGTCGGCCCGCAATTACGGGCTGGCGGCGTCGAAGGCTCAAGAGGCGAAGACTCTCAAGACCCACCTTAACGAACTTAAAGTCCACGAAAAACAGCTAAGCCAGGAACTTGCACAGGCCTCGGCCGCCTCTGATCTATACGAACAAGTGAGCACATTAACTTTCGTGTCAGAAATATGCCTCGACATGTACCGACTCATACAGTCAGCAGGCACCTACTTGAGAACACACGACCGAACACTCGTGGAACAACTTCGCACACACACGCACGAGCTTGGGGCAGCAGAAGTCAAATTCCTTCAACTCGCTATCAGCAAACTTCAGCCAACCTACTGTCCGACCAAGGACCCAGATTGCCCCAACAACGAAGAGTCTTAACCACATGCATCTCTACCCGCCTCACCCCATCATCTTTATCCCTCCCAGTTGATCTTATCGGCCAATCCGCGCATTCGAAATCTGCCGAAATCGGTCCATCCACCAAAACAAATTTCAAAAACCAACGCCGGGGTATCGAAGCCAGAAGTCGAAACACCGGGCTGGATGCTGGTAGCTCCTGAATGTTTAAGAGCTGTTGACTTGTTTGTAGTTCTGCTTTATCTTTTCGGCCCAGGCTTCGGGTGTGTAACCGAGGTGCTGTCTGGCGTCCTTGACGGGTGCTGAGACCCCGAAGCGGTCGAGAGAGACACTGATCTCGGGGTAGAAGTATCGATCGATACCATAAGAGCTGTAGGGTTCCATAATGGCTGCGGGTACGCCCCGAGGGAAGATGTCTCGTCGGTATTCGGCGGTTTGTTTCTCAAAGAGGTCCCAGCTGGGCATGGAGACGGTACGAATGTTGTAGCCACTCAACAACTCCGCTGTCTTGTCAGCCATGAACAACTCTGAGCCCGATGCGGCAAGAATAAGTTTGGGCTTCGTTTCGTCTGCAGCAAAATCGCGCAGAACATACGCTCCCATAGCGACCTTCTCCGAATCCGTCTTATCCTGAACAGGCACTTTGCCTCGCGCCAAAGCGAGCACAACGGGGGTCTTGGTCGACTTCATCCAGCAGCGGTAGGCGCCGACCACCTCGCGTGCGTCACCCGGGCGAATCATATCCAAGTTTGGCGTCGCGCGCAACAACGCCGGCACCTCCACGGGCTGGTGTGTTGGACCGTCTTCGCCGAGCTCAATCGAGTCGTGAGTGGCAAGCATCAACACTGGGAAGTGAGACAGCGCCGCCAAACGCGCAGCACCCCAGGCGTAGGTGTAAAAGTTCAAAAAAGTGGAATTGAACACCTTGAAGCCACCATAGCCGGCCAGACCGTTGATGATTGCCGCCATGCCGTGTTCACGTACTCCGAAATGCAAGTAACGCCCTCCTGCGTTCTCTGGGCACTGGCGGCCCCCTACTTGGCTCACTACGTCCGTCTTGTTACTCTCCATTAGATCCGCGCTACCGCCCACAAGCTCCGGCATTGCCGCAGCTATTGCTTGCAGGCAGGCCTGAGACACGTTCCGCGGCGCATCTTCCTTGATTTCAACATTATTTAATTGTTCGATCGCGCGATCGCACACATTCCCTGACAGTCTTCTCTCCAGTTCCGCGGCGTCGACCGGATTATTCTGCTTCCACTGATTAAACTTGTCCATCCATTCTGCGTAGGCCTTGTTGGAGGAAGCTTTTTTAGCTTGATAAAATTGCTTGACGCTCTCCGGTACCTCGAAGATATCGTCGTAGACAAACCCTGACTTCTCGCAGAGCTGTTTCATGTCTTCTTTGGACAAAGGAGCACCATGTACTTTGCAGCTTCCCTGTTTGAGCGAGCCGTATCCGATGGTGGTATCTACAATGATTAAGGTCGGCTGTTGGGTATTCTTCTTGGCCTGTTCTATAAGGCTAACCAAATTAGAGAGGTCTCTGTCGCCGTCAGGGAGGTAGAGGACCTGCCAGTTCCAGGCTCTGAATTTATTGGCGGTGTCGTCAGTGAAGGAAAGTTCGGTGCTTCCGTCGATGGTAATTCCGTTGCGGTCGTAGAGTGCAATGAGGCTTCCAAGCTTCCAGGTGCCTGCGAGCGAGCACGCTTCGGCGGAGACACCCTCCTGGAGACATCCATCGCCGAGTATTGCATAAGTGTAATTATTGAACAGCTCGGCGCTGAATCTTGCAGCCATGAGGCGGGTTCCAAGGGCTAGGCCAACAGCATTTGCTATTCCTTGACCCAGGGGTCCGGTAGTCACCTCAACACCGCTCGTAAGACCAACTTCCGGATGGCCAGCACAAATGCTACCCAGCTTCCGGAAGCTCTTCAAATCCTCCATAGACACAGCGTGACCAGTCAGATGTAACATGGTATACAACAACGCACACGCATGACCGTTGCTCAACACGAAACGGTCCCGGTTCACCCAGTCAGGGTGTTCACCATTCGCGTTCATCACGTAACCAAACAAACCATGAGCCATAACAGCACACCCCATAGGAGCACCAGGATGCCCAGAGTTTGCACGACTCACAATTGATGCGGTAAGACAACGGATATAATTCACCACAGCACCATCTTCAGGTACAAAACCCAAACAGTCTCGGAACACGCCTTCTTCACGCTTCACATACTTAGGCACACTCTGAGGAGTACCACCCATCGCTGGGTTAGACGCCTCATCCAAACTCAATCGCCGCTTCATCGAAGCAGGCAATGTGCGCTCGTTCTGCGGCTCACTCATCTGCTCAGTTGTCGCCGAAACCATTCTCCTTTTTTTAACAACAAAATCTCACCGGTCTTTTTTCCCGCCTACAGCCCCCGGATACAGCACCCAGAACACAATGGGGACATCTACCAACAGCAGCAGGAGTAAAGTTGCATTGCCCACAAACGTTCCAGACGTGTTGGCATATCGACACCGTACGAGACACCGTACGACACCGTACTCGACACGCCGTGATGACACCGGAAGTGCGTGTGTCGAGCGCGTGTTTTGTCACACACGATTCATGTCCGCGGAATTCCTATATAAATATTACCGTGTGACAGGGACCCAGCAACCATGCAGGGCCGAGTGGCAGGACGCGGCAGTGTCGAGCTAGTTGTAATGATGGCCGGCTTATCATTGCTGCGCACCTTGCTGGCGCTGCCTAACTCCGAGGGGCCAAAAAACCCCAAGGTGAGTCGGAACAGAAACCCTTTCAGCTTAACGGGTGTCGGAGATTGGCAGTCACCGGAGTCAGACCTGTCGGATTCTGTACGTCCACAGAAAGCGTTGTACGCAGGCTTTTGGCGTTGGGCTCATGACATTCTTCTAAACGACTGGGACCACATGATCCCGACGGAAATCATGGACGAGTGGGAACGAGTCGGAAAGTGTCGAACGGTGGCTACGCTTGCCAGGATTGCTGCAAAGGTGAACACTCAAAGTGCCATGAACAAGATATTTGTGCTGCCCCATTATGAAAAATACGACAGCGAGGAAAGCCTCGACGACCAGGGGACGCTCGACGGCGAGGCAACGCTCGGCGGCGAAGCAACGCTCGACGGTGAAGAAACAGTACAATTCACTCCGCAACGGTTCGAAGAAGTGGCAGCACGGTGCATTCCAAAATGGCGTAGTTGGAGTAGCTTCGCGGGATTTGTAGCCGACTTCAAAGCGGCTTTGCGCTCCAACGACAGGCAAGTTAAGGAAGCCGAACTAGTGACAGTGAATAGGCGTCGACTTGAGACCAGGATTATCCACCGACTCTGTGAGCATTCACGATGGCGCCGCCCCCCCCTTCAGTCGGGCAGCCTTTCGTTGGGTGTTCGGCGGTGGGCTCGGGCAAGGAGGGTGGCCGGGATCACAGTTGGGACCTCGTCGGTCCTCGAACGTCTTGGTAACATGAAATACGCAGACGCTGTACCAGATATGCGGTACGATTCCGAAGCCGCCTATGCCTTTCGACTTTGGTTCACCGAGGCGTCGCATATTCCGTGCTACTCTACCCGTCTGTACGGGCCGGTTAGAACGCACCCGCTGACTCCTGATCAATGGAAGAACACGTTGAGTAAGGACCGCCAAATGTGGGCGGCAGAAGCTAGCGACTACGTGTCGTGCTACACGTTGGTCAAATCGTTCTTTAGCCACAGCGCCAACAATAATCTCCCCCAGAAAAAGGAAGTGGACGAGATTGTGGATGAACTTGTGAAGAACGAGACTTCTTCAGGGTCATTCAGTGCACTGGCATTAACTAGAGCAGTCATCGACTATTTGTTGCAAGAATGGACGCCACCTTCGACCACTCCGGCTACTCCGACTTACTGTGCGACCACTGCACAGTCTTCAGCTGCACAGCCTTCATCTGGATTGTCTTCAGCTGCGGAGTCTGCAGCTTCATCGTTTTCGGCTGCAGAGTCTTCAGCTGCACTGTCCTCAACTGCAGTACCTATCCGTGGGACTTCGAAAAACCGGGGCAATAAGGAGCGACTGAAAGAGCGTCTTCAGCGGCTTGAGAGCGAGGCGAGGTCCCTAACACTGATGTCAGGTATTGTGCCGGAGGAGATTAGTGATTTGGGGGTTCCGTTTGCCATTTCATCAACAGAGTCTCCGCCTCTTCCGTTGGGTGCATTGATGTGGGCCTACGACGTTTTGAAGTACGACTTGCTTCATCTCTTGCCTGCGGTGTACCTGGCAAAACTCCAAAACTACCCCACGGTGGTGGAGCTTGCCACGTATGCGTCAGATAAGGTGTTCAAAGGACCAAAGAAAGGCTCTCGACTGGTCTGCTACCCACAACTGCTATATGGCGACTGTAAGGAGGAAGAAGACAAAGGCAGCTGCAAAGAAGTGAAAACCGAAGACTTTCGCTCCTTGGTACCAGCCGAGATTGACCAACGGGTCAAGAAGGGGAAAAATACTGAACGCCGAGAACTTCGTTTACCAACACCAGAACAACTACCTCGGGGCTGCACTGGTGTACATTGGTGGGCAAACAGCATTCTTGCTAATTGCTGGAATAGAGCCAACCCTCTAGGGTCACCCGGCGATATGATTTCGCAGCCAGTATTTTTCGCCATGGTCTACTCACATGTTTGTGAGTGTCTTAGAAACGATTTTTATGGTTGACTCTGTGATGCTTCGTCCCTTTTTGTGTCACGAAGGGGCGCTCGATTGAGTTACGCTCAAGATCTTCTCGTTCAGATCGTCGGTTCCAGGTCGTGGTGGGAGTAGTGGGAGGGCGGGGTGGACGACCTGGATCGTCGACAAGACCGTGCGAGCCATCTTTTCAACGAGCTTGTACATAGAAGAGGTGACCACCGACATTTTAGTTTGCAGGCAGGGCCACTGGATCTCAAGCCCTGCACACCCGAACGGAGCTGCGAAGAGAAGGAGATTCGACAACCGACCATGCAGAGCGTGCGGCCAAGTTGGTCATTGGAACGGCGAATGCCCAACGCGACATTTCTTCTGCGTAAATTGCGACATGAAGGGCCATACCGAAAACGTGTGTACCGTAAGGAAGTTTGAGCAACAAGGACAAGTGGAAATAGCCATGGACAACCGCCCGGACGCCATCAAGAATGCCTCAGGACAGGACATCCGCCGGCAAGGCCAAGTCTTACCCTTGACAATCTCCAGCGCCAACTACAACTCAACCAGAAGCGCAATGACAAGCGCCGACGTAGCGGCGCGCGAGGAGGATGTGCCTAGTGACGAGTGACTACCTGGTAGTGACGAGTTCACCGACTTGGGGTCGGGATCACTATGCCGCCACAAGGCTACAGCACCAAAGCTAGGCATCAACAGGTACAAAATGGCTGTGCTCCCGTGCCCGGGAGCAGTGTGTTCAATAATCGACACTAGCACAGCATGTAAGCTAGGGACACAGCTAATTGACGAGGTAGCACACCTTCGCGGAATTGGGGGTGCAGACACCGCAAGGAGGTCCGACCCGGTTGACGTAACGGTGAGAACCAAACCGCAACGGTCAGGTTTACTTGCGAAGATGGGCCGTTCCTCGTGCTGCTGAGTTTGGACGGATATTTTAAAACTGGTTGTTGTGTGACGTGCGTATTTAGTTGTATCCGTTTACGTTGGCGGAATTAGCCATTCGATGCCGTTGCCGCGGGCCGCTGAGGAATAAAGACGTGAGGAATAAAGACGCCAGGTAGATTCGAAAGGGGTCATACGTCCGAGTAAATCGCCGTGGAGCTCTCGTCCTGACAGGAGGAGACAACAAGACAACAGGCGACTACCGGGTCCTGACAGACCACCGGCAAGTCAATAAACAGATGCTTGATGACGCGTTCCTTATTCCCCTCCTCTGGCCATTCCTGCTACACTGTTCTCGACTGTAACTGAAAATTCTGGAATGGTTTTATTAGTGAAGCGCGTGTTGCTTGCGCGTTTTGCACCCCTTGGGGAATTCGAACATTCAGCGTTGTGCCTCGCGGGAGAGTATCAAAGAGCAATGAACCAAGCTTCTGATGCGCTTCTAGGCCAGGGCGTCGAATGCTATATTGACGATATGGTCATTCACGCTGGCAGCCGACAGGAATGCCTTGAACTCCTAAATAAGGTGGTGCGGGTCTGTAGGTGATGCGGGTCTGTATCGACAATGGCTTCTTCATGAAGCTGGCCAAGTATGAGTGGCTCCGCAAGGAAATCCCCCTGCTTGGTCATGCTGTAGGGAAGTGCGGCATCAAGCTCCAGTCTGGAAAGGTGGAGGTGTTGAGCACAGTCGCTTTGCCGAAAGACTACTCTGACAAGATGCAGCCCTTGCAGGAGCTCATGAACAGCCAAAAGACCCAAAACTTCGCGTGACGTGACTCCCACAAAGTAGCATTGCGACAGGTGATCGTGGGTCTCATAAATGCTGACTACTTGGTAGCTCCCGACCCGGATGCGCGACTTGCGCTAAATACCGACGCAAGTCAGTACGCGGTAGGAGCGATATTGGGCCAGGTCAACGATGGCAGGTTGGAAGGGGTCGAGTACGGTAGCAAGAAGCTCAACGTAATTGGGACGCGAGAAAAAGAGAGTTGTGGGCGGTCAAGTACTTTGTGACCGAGTGAGACACGTACATACGGCAAAGACCCACCCCGGTGCCCACCGACCACCGCAATCTCATTTTTCTAGCGAAGACTGACACAGGCAAAGTAGGTCCATGTTCCTCCAACAATACGACTTAAAGTTCAGTTACAACCCCGGAGACAACAACTACGTCGTCGATGCCCTGTCTAGGCTCCAGGCCGACGAGGACCGCGATCGGGACCTCGACGCCATGCACATCGGTACGGTTTGCAGTCCACTTCGCCGAAGTCCGCCAGAAGCTATTCCAGCTACCGTCACACTACGAGTTCCTTGTGAAGGACGACGACATTTTCGTGGGTGAGTTGCAAAACCTCCGCCTCTACGAACACCGTAAGACCGAAAGGTCGTACGTCCCGACTCGACTTAGACATCAAGCTGACTAGACATCAAGGCGGACATCAAGGCGTCACTAAGACCCACAGGAACATGTTCTGGTGGCCACGGTCCATACAGCACTTCATCCAAGAGTGCGCCATCTGTGCCCGCAACCTTCAACCTGCCGCGGGCACACGAAGACACGTTGGAGCAGCCGATCTTCATGTGGGTAGAGTAAGCATGGATTATGTGGTCCAAGAACGCCCAACCGGTTCGCAGAAAGTGTAGTAGGAGCGTTGGAGGTACCCTTCGAAGTATACACGGACGGCGGAACAGAGGTGACTTCCACGACTGCGTGACTTCCGTGCTGAAAGTCAAGCACATCACACTTGTCTCCGGTGCCTAGCCGTAACCGGCAGAGAGCCCATGCTACCCGGATGGTCAAAGAAAGATCTCGCTCCATGGGAGACGACAACCTTTTTTGGTGATTATTCTCCAGACCTGGTGACACACACGATGGCTTCTAAACCTGTTGACAACTCAGCACGTGTGCGAGGTTCTCCGACAATCGTTTCCATAACCCGTTTTTCACAAAGGTTGTCAGGCGTCTTGTCTCGTCTTGGTGCCACTTGTTTTCCAGTCAGAATTCACGATCAATTAATACATGTGAATAACCAAGCTGATTGGACAGTGACTTGAAGTGGGGGCAGTGTGTGCGCACTGGCAAACGGCGCCCGACTGCCCCACGGTTGACGAGAGCGCGAGGCTGATGGCACTGAGGCCGGTAATGGCACTGAGGCCGGTAATGGCACTGAGGCCGGTAATGGCACTGAGGCCGGTAATGGCACTGAGGACGGTAATGTCACTGAGGACGGTAAACATGGCGCCCTTGCATGGTTTTCGGACTGGGCGTTCTGTTGTCAAAACTGGTTAGTGAATCGTGTGTGTTTGTCACGCACGATTCATGTCAAAAGCCGCCGCATAATTTCGTCGAATAGCCCGAGAATTATGGGCTGCAAGACTCACTATATATTTATATATCCAAGCGACCAAGCAAGCAAGCAACCATGCACGGGCAAGTGGCAGGACGCGGCAGGGTGGAGCTTGTTGTAATGATGGCCGGCTTATCATTGCTGCGCACCTTGCTGGCGCGGCCTAACTCCGAGGGGCTAAAAAACCCCAAGGTGAGTCGGAACAGAAACCCTTTCAGCTTAACGGGTGCCGGAGATTGGCAGTCACCGGAGTCAGACCTGTCGGATTCTGTACGTCCACAGAAAGCGTTGTACGCAGGCTTTTGGCGTTGGGCTCATGACATTCTTCTAAACGACTGGGATCATATGGTCCCGACGGAAATCATGGACGAGTGGGAACGAGTCGGAAAGTGTCGAACGGTGGCTACGCTTGCCAGGATTGCTGCAAAGGTGAACACTCAAAGTGCCATGAACAAGATATTTGTACTGCCCCATTATGAAAAATACGACTGCGAGGAAAGCCTCGACGACCAGGGAACGCTCGACGGCGAGGCAACGCTCGACGGTGAAGAAACAGTACAATTCACTCCGCAATGGTTTGAAGAAGTGGCAGCACGGTGCATTCCGAACTGGAGTTACTGTTCTAGCTTCGCGCGATTTGTAGCCGACTTCAAAATGGCTTTGTGCTCCAACCACAGGCAAGTTAAGGAAGCCGAACTAGTGATAGTGAACAGGCGTCAACTTGAGACCAGGATTATCCACCGACTCTGTGAGTTTTCACGGTGCCGCGAGGCACCCGTCAAGTCGGACAACCTTTCGTCTGGTCTTCGACGGTGGGCTCGGGCAAGAAAGTTGGCCGGTGTCGAGGCTGGGGCCTCGTCGGTCCTCGAACGTCTCTGTAACATGAAATACGCAGACGCTGTACCAGATATCCGTTACGGTTCCGAAGTTGCTTATGCCTTTCGACTTTGGTCCGGCGCGGCGTCGCATATTCCGTGCTACTCTACCCGTCTGTACGGGCCGGTTAGAACGCACCCGCTGACTCCTAATCAATGGAAGAACACGTTAAGTAAGGACCGCCGAGTGTGGGCGGCAGAAGCTAGCGACTACATGTCGTGCTACACGTTGGTCAAATCGTTCTTTAGCCACAGCGCCAACAATAGTCTCCCCCAGGAGAAAGAAGTGGACGAGATTGTGGATGAACTTGTGAAGAACGAGACTTCTTCAGGGTCATTCAGTGCACTGGTATTGACTAGAGCAGTCATCGACTATTTGTTGCAAGAATGGACGCCACCCTCAACCACTCCAGCTACTCCGACTTACTGTGCGACCACTGCACAGTCTTCATCTGGATTGTCTTCAGCTGCGCTGTGCTCAACTGCAGGACCTGTTCGTGGGACTTTGAACAAACGGTGCGCTAAGGGGCAATTGAAGCGACATATACTGTCGCTAGAGAGACAGGCGAGGTCCCTGACACTGATGTCAGGTAATGTGCCGGAGGAGATCAGCGAGTTGGGGGTTCCGTTTGCCATTTCATCAACAGAGTCTCCGCCTCTTCCGTTGGGTGCATTGATGTGGGCCTATGACGTTTTGAAGTACGACTTGCTTCATCTCTTGCCTACGGTGTACCTGAGAAGACTCCAAAACTACCCTACGGTGGTGGAGCTTGCCACGTATGCGACAGAAAAGGTGTTCAAAGGACCGAAGAAATCCTGTCGACTGGTCTGCTACCCACAACCGCTGTATGGCGGCTGTAAGAAGGAAGAAGACGACGGCTGTAAGGAAGTGAAAATCGAAGACTTTCGCTCCTTGGTACCAGCCGAAATTGACCGACGGGTCAAGAAGGGGAAAAATACTGAACGCCGAGAACTTCGTTTACCAACACCAGAACAACTACCTTATGCTGGTATACATTGGTGGGCGAACAGCATTCTTACCAATTGCTGGAATGGAGCCAACCCTCTAGGGTCACCTAACGATATGATTTCCCAGCCATTATTTTTCGCTTTGGTTTATTCACATGTTTGTGAGTGCCTTAGAAACGATTTTTACAACCCATCGGATTAACCCTCATATTCTTGTCATGCGTCCCTTCTTATCATACGTCCCTTCTTATCATGCCACGGAACCTATTTCTGTTCCAGAGATGTGCGCAGGCAGACAATAGATGTTCTGGTCTTATCAATATCGCGATTCCAGGTTGTGATGGGAGGAGGATGGGAAGAGGATAGGAGGAGAATGGGAGAAGTGTCCGACTGGATAGGGTGCATTCCCGACTGGGTCCACAATTGCGAGTATGCACGGCCTTCAGTTGTAGTGCGTATTAACGCAACTGCCAGCAGTAATCCGTGTGCGTATGTGAGCGCGACTAATAAATGCGAGCGAAGCCGCGTATACGATTGCTTGTGAAGGAGGCGAGGTTTCGTCAATGCGCACTACAACTGAAGGCCGCACGCAGTCCGGAGGAGATCAACGAATTGTGGGTCCCATTTCATTTCCAATAATGAATGCCATTACCAGTAGGTACATTGATGTGAGCCTGCGACGTTTCCAAGTACGATTTGCCTCATGTCCTGCCGAGCTGCTACCTGATGAGTCGCTATAACTTTCCTACGGTGGTGAAACTTGTCACAGAAAAGACGTTCGAAAAAAAAAGAGGCGGGCTCTCGACTGGACTGCCACCAAGAATTATTGTACGGCGACGACGAGAAAGTCACAAACTTTCGATCCTGTGTGAAAGACGGAATTGCACGTGTACGAGGTTCTCAGAAATCATTTTAACAGCGCGTCGTAAAGGTGAGGAACGCAACGGGGAGGAGCTTGAAGTGGGGGCAGTGAACGGCACGTGTGTGGCCCAGCGGCAGCCGACCGGTTGACAAGAGCCCGCGTTGATAGCACCTGAATGGCCTGAGGTCCGCAGGAGAGCGAATCGTGGCCGCTGACTGGTCCAAAGTTGGCTGGGAGGCACGAGTCGGCACCACGTTGGATCGCGGTTGAAAAGATCGCTCGCTCCAGTGGCCCGCTGTTACTGGGAGAACGAAGAGAGGTCAGGCAGCTGACTCGTCCACGACTGGCAGGCAGGCAGGCGAAGAAACCGGCCCATGGTTATCGTAACCGGTTAATGGTTGACGAAAAAGTGAGATGATGGTCCTAGCAAGACCAACGACACCTCAGTAGCCTCACTTGGAGGGTGCCAGTCACAAGACGGTGGCCCGCTGACGACTAATTCCGTTTCAGATGATCGGAGTTCAGTGTCTTAGCGAAAGAAGAGGTCCTCAGAAGAGTGCGCGTGTTTGTGTGAACACACTTTTAAATGCGCGCAATATACTCGGAAATACAAGAGACCATGTTATTGAGGCCGATAAACATGGCGCCCAGCACACACTGGTCAGTGTTCGGACTTGGTGTGCCCAGGGATTACAGGACCGAATCATGGATCCCAATTATGGACTAATTATATATTTACGTAGCCGGGCCATGCACGGGCAAGTGGCAGGACGCGGCAGGGTCGAGCTAGTTGTAATGATGGCCGGCCTATCATTGATGCGCACCTTGCTGGCGCGGCCTAACTCCGAGGGGCTAAAAAACCCCAAGGTGAGTCGGAACAGAAACCCTTTCAGCTTAACGGGTGCCGGAGATTGGCAGTCACCGGAGTCAGACCTGTCGGATTCAATACGTCCACAGAAAGCGTTGTACGCAGGCTTTTGGCGTTGGGCTCATGACATTCTTCTAAACGACTGGTATCATATGATCCCGACGGAAATCATGGACGAGTGGGAACGAGTCGGCAAGTGTCGAACGGTGGCTACGCTTGCCAGGATTGCTGCAAAGGTGAACACTCAAAGTACAGTGAACAAGATATTTGTACTGCCCCATTATGAAAAATACGACTGCGAGGAAAGCCTCGACGACGAGGGAACGCTCACCAGCGAGGAAACGCTGGACGGTGAGGAAATGGTATGCTTCACTCCGCAACGGTTCGAAGAAGTCGCAGCACGGTGCATTCCGAATTGGCGTTGTTGGCGTCGCTTCGAGCAGTTTGTAGCCGACTTCAAAGCGGCTTTGTGCTTCAACGACAGGCAAGTCGAGGCGGCCGAACTAGTTACGGTAAACAGGCGTCAACTTGAGACCAGAATTATACACCGACTCTGTGAGTATCCACGATGGCCCGGGCCACCCATCAAGTCGGGCAGCCTTTCGTTGGGTGTTCGGCGATGGGGTCGGGCAAGGAGGGTGGCCGGGATCACAGCTGGGACCTCGTCGGTCCTCGAACGTCTTGGTAACATGAAATACGCAGACGCTGTACCAGATATGCGGTACGATTCCGAAGCCGCCTATGCCTTTCGACTCTGGTTCACCGGGGCGTCGCATATTCCGTGCTACTCTACCCGTCTGTACGGGCCGGTTAAAGCGAACCAGGTGACTCCTAATCAATGGAAGAACACGTTGAGTAAGGACCGCCAAATGTGGGCGGCAGAAGCTAGCGACTACGTGTCGTGCTACACGTTGGTCAAATCGTTCTTTGGCCACAGTGCCAACAATAATCTCCCCCAGAAAAGGGAAGTGGACGAGATTGTGGATGAACTTGTGAAGAACGAGACTTCTTCAGGGTCATTCAGTGCACTGGTATTGACTAGAGCAGTCATCGACTATTTGTTGCAAGAATGGACGCCACCCTCAACCACTCCAGCTACTCCGACTTACTGTGCGACCACTGCACTGTCTTCAGCTTCACTGTCTTCAGCTTCACTGTCTTCAGCTTCACTGTCTTCAGCTTCACTGTCTTCAGCTTCACTGTCTTCAGCTTCACTGTCATCAGCTGCAGTACCTGTTCGTGGGACTTTGAACAAACGGGGCGGTAAAGTGCGAGTGAGATGGCATATGCATGGGCTTGAGAGCGTGGCGAGGTCCCTGACGCTGATGTCAGGTAATGTGCCGGAGGAGATCAGCGAGTTGGGGGTTCCGTTTGCCATTTCGTCAACAGAGTCTCCGCCTCTTCCGTTGGGTGCATTGATGTGGGCCTACGACGTTTTGAAGTACGACTTGCTTCATCTCTTGCCTACGGTGTACCTGGCAAAACTCCAAAACTACCCCACGGTGGTGGAGCTTGCCACGTATGCGACAGATAAGGTGTTCAAAGGACCAAAGAGATCCTTTCGACTGGTCTGCTACCCACAACCGCTATATGGCGGCTGTAAGGAGGAAGAAGACGACGGCTGTAAGGAAGTGAAAATCGAAGACTTTCGCTCCTTGGTACCAGCCGAAATTGACCAATGGGTCAAGAAGGGGAAAAATACTGAACGCCGAGAGCTTCGTTTACCAACGCCAGAACAACTACCTCAAGGTTATACTGGTATACATTGGTGGGCAAACAGCATTCTTGCTGATTGCTGGAGTGGAGCCAACCCTCTAGGGTCACCCGGCGATATGATTTCGCAGCCAGTATTTTTCGCCATGGTCTATTCACATATTTGCGAGTGTCTTAGAGATGATTTTTACAGCCCATCGGATTAACCCTCTTGTTCTTGTGAAACGTCCCTTCTTATCATGCCACGGAATTTATTTCTGTTCTATACCAAATGCCGTAGACGGGCCAAGCCGCCCAGGTCGACCCGGAGACGGTGGTGGACGTGATGCGGGGTTGCGTTGCTAGCATGCGTTAAGGTGCAGTGATGAGCGGATCATCGGAATTTGAGACAGGGTTGGTGGCATCCTTGCGACCGGGTCAGAAACTATGTAGCTACCGAAAGGATGGGGAAGGAGGACAATTAGTGGAGCGTGAGACGGTGCAACCTGGAGGGGTGCTACCTGGAGGGCAGCGAGACTGGTCGGAGTTTGTTGACTACTTGCAGTTGTGTCATGCTCAGGAGGAGGAATTAGTTCGTCGATTGAAATTACACGAGGAGGTGGTCGACGTGTTGAAGACCTTTCAGAGGCAGCATGAGACGCTGAATGTGGAGCTCGTTGAGTGGTTGGACAATTGTAACACCCAAGAAGACGTAGACGGCGTTGTGATTGCGGCCACTGAACTGTGGAATAGTATCCGCCGAAAGCGTTATGCCGCCTTCTGTGACTACCGCGAAAACGCGGGTGCCATCAGCCAACTGCTTACCGGACGGCGTAAGCGCCTCCAGACTCTCCATGACGCCCAGGAGTCCTACGGTGCGGCGTTTCCGCCTGCCATTGAGGAGATGTGTCATCAAGAAATCGATACAGAAACGGAAGTCTGGGAACTGCTCGTATATTACGGCGGACCGGACGAGGAGGACCGCATCCCGATGTTTGCTAAGGTCACCACCGCTCTGAACCAGGTCACCGCGTGTCTCCTTGCCGGGCCCAACGAATCGCGCGTAAAAGGAATAGATGAACTACTAAAAAGTAGTCCGCACAGAAGGGAGTTCAGCAAGACAAAACCCAGAAAGAGAGAAAAAGAGGGGAGGCTGGTAACGACATTTTCAGGTTCCTGGGCGGCTGGCTTAGGGCTGGTGCCGGGGGGTCCGGGTAAGCCGTCATTTTTGCGATCTACTCGGTCTGAGGAGCCTTGTTTAATTTCCACGGATCGAGACACCCCAGTGGGATTCGTTCGTGCTAACACGGAGCCATTGCCGGCTCTCAGCGAGTTGGATCGTGAGGAACAGAAGGCTCTCAAGTCGCACCTTACTTCTGTTTTATATCGCGCTTTCACGCAGCCTGAAAGACCGGTCGCAGGACCCCGATGGCTTACTGCAGCCAGCAAATCCGAACCCTACGTGGGAGCCGTTGCAACCATGATGGCTGCGGCCTTAACAAAAGTGAGCAACGACTCAAACAAAGCCGCAGACTGGACCAAACAACTTCTCACCAGGGCCAAGACCGAAGGCAGTGCAACCGTCGTGCGTGAATTTTACAACACACCTTCAAGACCTCAATTGGAGCCCAAAGTCATCAACCTCTCAGAGTCCAAACTCAGAAAAGCTACCTCCGAGGTACTCAGACTTGACAGCGGCGTCGACAGCCGAAACGGCCTCGACCTCCGCGCCAAATCAGATCTAGCCTCTTACGCTGGCGTCGCCTGGCCCGCCTTTTGCAGAACCATCAGCACCGGCTGTAACTCCCTCATTAACCAGTGGCTCCAGGAACGACAACGACAGGACCGACAGGGAGAGGAGCAACCGCCAGAAGGAGAACAGGGTCCCGGAAGTGTTCCCTTTCTCAAAGCTCGCGCGGCCCGATTCGACTCGCGCGAAGCCCTGAAACTCAAACTGGTCCAGAGCATGCCTCTGCCCGTCACGGGTCCGCCCGAACAGACCATCCGGCTCTTGCGCTCCGGGGAGGACTGGGACACGGTTACCCACAGCTCGGAGTCAAGCCGCACCGCCACCAGCTCAGCTCATAACGGAGAGAATTCCGCCGCAGAGGCAGAAGTGAAGGCAGCGGCAGAGGAGGCAGTGGCAGCGACGGCAGAGGGGGCAACGGCGGCCAAGGCAGCGGCAGAGGGGGCAACGGCGGCCAAGGCAGCGGCAGAGGAGGCAACGGCGGCCAAGGCAGCGGCAGCGAAGGCGAAGGCAGCGGCAGAGGCAGAGGAGGCCGCTGCGTTAAATCCGCGTCAAGTGGTAAGTCAGTTGATTCAAAGCACGCCGGTGGTCAAAAAGGTTTTGAGTAGAAGCTCTCCGGAAGAGATTATGCGTCGTGCTGCCATGCGTGCCGAAGAGCTACGGCCGCAACCAGAAGCTTCGAACGAGGAGCAAGGTGTGGTGGGCAGGGGTTCCCCTGCGCGGGGCTCGCCTTCGGAAAGCTCGCCCGCAGAAGACTCGTTTTCGGAAGACTTGATTTCGAATAGCAGAGGCCTGCAGAAAGCCGCGGAAAAAGATTCGAGAGGGAAGAGCTCGAGAGATAAGACTACGAAAGGGAAGACCGTCGAGGGAAAGATCGTGAAAGAGAGGGACGTAAAAGGAAAGCATACGGAGGAAGAGAAAGGAAAGTCGCGTTCAAGTGGGAAAAAGGCTGACCGGCGGGGACATTGTGAGGAAGGCACGCAAACCAGCAGCTCTAATCAGACGTCTTCAGTCCTCTGGTCTCCGAGCCCCGACGAAACGCTCCCCAAGATGCGTCCTGCTGAGGCGGCAGTGTTGCCCCGACGCACGATCGTCCCGACGCCTATGACCGTGCGCATTCCTAGCCTTATGCCGACAGGCTTCCCAGGCGGGTCATCGGCTGCGCCACCTGTGCCTCCGCACACATGTGCGTGCGCTCAGGCGTGTGCGTGCGCTCAGCACGCGTGTGCGTGCGCTCAGCACACGTGTGTGTGCGCTGAGCACACGTGTGTGTGCGCTCAGCACACGTGTGTGTGCGCTGAGCACACCTACACGGCCGGGTT